GCGGGCGGCGCGGAAGGTTCCAGGTCTGGGTGCGACACAGCGGGCGGCGCGAGAGGTTCCAGGGACGGGTGCGTCACGTTCCAGGTCTGGGTGCGTCACGGGTGCGGGTGGAGCTGAAGGCCCCAGGAGGTGCCGACTCATCACGGACCTCGGCCAGGCCCTGCAGGTCGCCCCTACTCAGGGGCCCTGAGTCCCGCTGGTGCCCCCAGCCCCGCCTCTGAGCCTGCCGCCCTGGGCCCCGGGGCTTGGCGGACCCCACGTAGCTTCCTTCCCTGCGTTCAGCATCTGCTCTGTGTGATGTTTCCCAGGCCCTTTGTCTTGGGTTGAGTGTGCGGTCATTTTCTTAGTTTTTGAGCTGGGGCATTAGGTCCGTGGTGGGCGCGGGGCTGTTGTTTGGAAGCGTGCTCTTCGTTGCCACGCTGAGCGGTGCCCAGTTTCCCGCCGTGGCAGTCGGCTTGCCGAACGCCTCTGCGGCCAGCGAAGGGAGTCGCATTGCGTTTCACAGGCTCCTCGGGACGCGAAACCGTCACTGTTTGTCCTGCCCCCTTTTGTCCTGCCGTCCGCCTTGGCTGGTACTGACGTGGTTCTCCCCCTGTCAGCTCTGTCACGCCTGCTTTGGGCTCTTGTGGTGACATCTTCCTGCAAATGCGTTACACGGTGTCCCTGGGGGGCTGGGGGGGCCTATGCTGACGAGACGACCCCACTGCGTTTGTGTCAAGCCGCCTTCACTCCATCGTCGTGTTGGACGTGTACTTGCACCGGCGGCGTGGACGCCCTGGGGCCGGGTTCCGCTTCCTACAGCAGCGGAGGCTGTTGTCCCCGTGGCTCGTGTTTCTCCCAGGGTGTGTGCCGAGACCGGCCGTCACCAGGACGGGAGCTGCCTGGAGGGACCGCCTTTCCCCCTCTGGCCGCTGTTCAGGTTTTCACTCGTCAGAGACTGTTTTCGGGAGGTCACCTGGGTGCATCTGAAGGGTCTTCCTATTCGCGCTCTGGCTGTCAGTCTAGATACTTCTAGAGTTCCGTCCCCACCTTTTCTGTCGTTCCCGTTTGCTGAGTCTCACCTGACGAGCTGGCGAGCTCTTACTTTCGGATATTGTGTGTTTCAGTTCTAGGACGTCCGTTTGGTTCTCTTTCTGGATGTCATGTCTCTGATGGAATGTTTTCATCTTTCTAAAAGTCAGCTTTGTCATCTCTTCCTCTCAGCTTTTCTCATCACAATGACTTGAAAGCACGCGTTCGCTGACGCGAACCTTTGGGTGAGTTGGGTTTGACTCCCGCTCCCGCTTTCCCGAGGAGCAGCCCCTAGCGCTGCCTCTTACACGTCTGGGGGTCTTGATGGCGAGCCTGGCGTTGTGGATCAACTCGCTGTGTCGTTGGTGCATGGTCGCATGTTTTCACTTGAGTCACGCGAGGGAACAGCTCAGCAGACGTCAGTGAAGACATTTGATGGGAGTTGGGCAGCATCTTCCCTGGGTGTTTGCAGTGGAAAGTGTTCAGAGTGGCTGGTGTGGCCTATGGAGGAAGGGGGCCTCCGTGCATTTGTGCTGGGTCGCTGGGTACCTGGGAGACTGGCCATGGAGCAAGTGTGGGATGAGGGAAGGACGGAGGGACAGTGATTTGGGGAAGATGAAGTCATGGCGAAGCCTCTGACTGGGGGAAGGCCTACCACCCCCAGCCCCTGCCCACAGAGGGAGAGTAGCCAGAGGTCACTGCTGGTGGACGCTGGAGGCCACAAGGCCTGCACAAGGCGCCAGACCATTGCCGACGTGCACCCTGGGTCTCCTCACCTACAGGTTCAAGTTCCTGCACGAAATGATGCTTCTCCATGCCTTGCTCCTAGCCTTGGGGTTGACACTGGTGGAAACCTCGCAACCTGCACGACGCTGTAAGTATCATTGCTGTCACTGTCTGGACTGGAACTCACGGAGCCCTCTGGGGTGGTTGGAAAGGTCAGAGTGGAATTTCCACGTCTTAGCCAGCCGAGAGTGCCATGGGCAGTGCAGTTGTTGGGCAGAGTGGATGTGGAGCGTGTCCCCGAGCAAGGGGAGTGTCAGGAGGGAGGGTGGTTTTCTCCAGAGCAGGAGACGTGCTGGGGAGCCGAGCTGTGGCACTTCTCCAGCTGGGCAGGCAGGAGTGGCTTAGGCCAGGGAGATCTGGGAGGGTGCCGGCCTCTTATGACTCTCAGGCCATCTTGGACAGGGGGGTCCGATCTGCAGAGCACAGGGCTACCACCCTTGGCTGCCTTGGGGGTGCTCCCCAGGGCCTGGTGTGCCTGCTTCTGCCCAGGGAGCGAGTGTTGCCCAGACTCAGAGCCCACCGAGTACTAAGCTGTGCCGACCTCAGGAAGTCCTCGGAGGCTGCGGGGAGGGTGGAAAATGCATGAGGAAGCAGGAGCCCCCGCTGCTTTCTTTTCTCTCAGGGACCTATAATCTGAAATGCCATGACTGTGCGACCATAAACAACTTCAATTGTCCAGAAGTTCGGGTGTGTGTCTATGAAATCAGGCGCTGTTTGACAGTCTCCATTCGTAAGTACCTGCTTGTCTCTCTCACACCTTGTGAATTAGTCACCCACCTGGGCGGTTTCAGGGGGCAGGGCCAATCTGTTTTGTTCTCTGCAAGTACCTGTGGCCCTTGGTTTGTGGTGTCCCCATCCGGACGGCACGTTGTTGGCACTGGACTCAGCCCATAAAGAGCAGTTGTCACTGCACTGTCGGCAGACACCTCTCCTGCAGTGTGTCCAGGGGGTGGGAGCATTGCCACACCTCAAGGCCTCCACCCCTTGTCAGGCCCTGGTCATTTGTGCAGATGCCCCAGTGCAGCCTGGGTGATTCCTCGCTGCCCATTGACACTGGTCATCTGGGGAGGGATTCCAGCTAAGCAGACCCAAAAAGTGGACGCCCACGGACTCTTTGGGACAGTGTTTACCACACACAGATGCCAAGGCCAAGTGTGAGATCAGGGCAGATCCTGAACTTCCAAGATGCTTTTGGCTCTTGCTCAGAGGCATTCACGCTCTGAGAAAGGTGTCCCTCTCCCCAGGTCCCTAATCTGAAGCACATGTACTGCGGAGGCCAGTGAGTATCAATTAACTTGGGACAGCCTGACAGGGAGCCTGGTCTGGGGCCTGCTCAGGGCCTGTCTGCGAGCGCCTGTCCTCCCCAGTGCCTGTGAGTCCATTGCCCTTCCACACCATTCGTTCTGTGTTCAAAGGCCCCGCAAAACAACCTTTTGATGGCCGCCACCCCCTTGTACCACCTGCAGTTCCCTGTGGGCATCTGCTGATGTGGGACCCAGGCAGGAGCTGAGGAAGCGTACTTTGTTCCTGCAGTTGCACACCTGTTTTTGTGCAGGCCTCAGACTGTCAATATCCAGTGTTGGGACTGGACCAGCCCTTGTGTTCTAGAATGATTGCAAGACATCCCTCAGGAGGCTTGAACAATGAGTCTTATTACTTACAAGTCCTGGAACTCCCAAGGCAGGCCTGGGGCACAGTGAGGTCCCTGTGGCTAGAGAGAGAGCTTACAAGCATAGGCTTGGGGTTCTGCTCTTATTGGGATTGAGGGAGGGTGGGGAACCTATGGTTTTGAAGACTCATTCTTTATTGGTGAATTTAAAACATAAGACTGGAAATACTGCCATTTGTGACAACATGGATGGATCTTGACGTTATCATGCTAAGCAAAATAGGTCAGATGGAAAAAGTCAAGAACTGTGTGATTTATAACCCACTCACGTGGGATATAAAACTGAAAGCAACAAATGAACAAACAAAAACTCATAGACACAGACAACAGTATAGTTGTTACCAGAGGGAAAGGGGGTGGGGGGAGGTAGAAAAGGGTAAAGGGGGTCAAATATGTTGTGATGGAAGGAGAATTGACTTTGGGTGGTGAATACACAATGCGATATACAGATGATGTATTATAGAAATGTACACCTGAAGCTTACATAATTTTATTAACCAATGTTGTCCCAATAAATTTAATCAAATGAAAACAACCTGGAGTTTAAAGGGAGGGGAGAAAAAAAACAAGAGACCCAAATGGTCAGCATGGAAAAACCAAGCAAGATCTCTAAAACGAAGGAGCCGTGGAGTGGGAAGCCGGGACAGGAAGGAGTCTGATCTAGTTTGTAGCTGGCCTTGTGTTGATTAGAGATCACCCCCTTTGAAGAGGTTTCCTCTTTGAAGTGGATCCTTGCTTGGCAAGCAAAGCTTGAGTCAGACACTTGCATTACAAAAAGGAACATCACCTGTTGGCGCTGCACTGCAGTGCCTTTGGGAGACCACTTTGGGGTTACTGCTCCTGAAGGGGGCTGGGAACGCTGTTCCTCAGAATCCCATCCCTGTAGGACCTGGGTTCTACTTGATCCAGAGAGAACATGTGTGAGATTTGCAAGGCAGAGACCATTACTCTTTTGTTTTAGATTTTATTGGGGAATTGGGGAAGGGGAACATTGTGTTTTTCCAGGACCCATCAGTTCCAAGTCAAATTGTTGTCCTTCAATCTTAGTTATGGAGGGCTGCAAGCTCAGCTCCAAGTCCAGTCGCTGCTTTCAATCTAGTTGTGGTGGGGGTGCGGCCCACCATCCCATGCAGGAGTCGAACCAGCAACCTTGTACAGCTGAGCCATCTGGCCACCCGTTGGCAGCTCAGCGGGAGTTCAGCACGAGTGCAGCTCACTGGCCCATGTGGGAATCGAACCGGCAACCCTGTTGCTCAGAGCTTGCACTCTAATCAGCTGCGCCACCTGGCCAGCCCCCAAGACCATTACTCTTGAAGGTCACGGTGTTTTGACACAGTCATGGTGGTTTTACAGAGTAATGGACACCAGGGGACCCCCACCTGTCCTCACTCTTACTCTGCCTCAGTCCATGTTATCATCTCCATTGCTGGGCCTTTCAATGGAAAGAAGATCTTAAAACCCTAGCAGTTGCTTGGCTGCTGGTCTGCATAGGTGACAGGAGCTCTGAGGGCACACATGAGACATGTCTGCAGGAGTCTCCTGTGCATGGGCCAAACGGGAGGACAGAGGTGCATGGCTTTGATCTTTTCCTGCAAAGTTTGGCTCTTCTACCCTGCCTCCATTTCAAGCAGACCTGGTTGTAGAGTATCTCTGATCATCAGCCCCCTGACAACTTGCATTTCTCCAGTCCTCATACAGCCATGGAAGCTGAGTACCTAGACTTAATAACTTATCCTCATAGAGTTTCAGGGCTTCGGTTTCCTGAATGACCCTGATGGATATGGAAATGGACACCAGTTTTGTGGGGTCAGGGTCAGGATCAGGGGATTTGGGTGGAAAAGAAGCTAGTGTGTCCATATGAGGGATAATGGTGGTGAAAAATTTGTTTAGCCTCACTATTTGGAATGGCAGTGCCCTAGTTAGTTGTGATATTGCGTGAAAGTTTTGAAGCTGTTACCATTGGAAGTAACTGAGTAAAGGATACACAAGATCTTCCTATGTTTCCTGCAACTGCATTTGAATATAAGTTATCTCAAAGTTAAATGTTTAATGGAAAAGAAAATTTAAAACTAACATATCATTAATTATATAAAATTCCTATACTTAGGAACCCAAAACTTGTGAGGTAAAGAAAAAAATAATATATTCTGTTTACTAGAGACATGCTTGAAAATAAAATATAGAAAATAGCATACAATTTAGACACTGCCCAGAAGAAGCTCTTCTATATATACTGAGGCAAAGTAAACATTAAGACGAGCATTACTTATGTGAAGAGCAACATTTTTTGGAGATGAAAGGATAAAACTACCAGGAAGATATCATGATCTAAATCCGTAGCTTCTAGATAAGAGATGAAAGAAACAAAACACTACAGCTACAGATCAGGGGTCAACAAACTTTTCCTGTGATGAACCAGATAGTAAACGTTTTCAGCTTTGCAGGCCACCTTGTCTCTGTCACAACTACCCAACGCTGCCTTTGTGGGGATGGAAGCAGCCATAGAGGAGAAGTAAACATGATTGTCCCTATGTCCCCACAAAGCTTTATTTCTAGACACAGTTGTTGGACTAGGTTTGTCCCATGGGCTCTTGTTTGCCAACCTCTGCTATAGAAGGTCTGAACAATGCCACTAACAAGGAATAATCATATATAATAGCAGAGCCTGAAATAAATAACCAAATACACATTTTTTACAAGGTTGCATATGACATTTACAAAGTGAACTCATGCCATGACATAACACACGCATCCACAAATTTCAGGTGATTGAAATTATTTAGAGTTCCTTCTCATTGCAGTGAAATGAAGGGAGAAATCACCACTCAGAAGTGAACTAGGAAATGCCTAACTACTTGGTAATTATGCAGAGAATTTCTAAATAACCAGTTTCACAAAAGAGAAGCTACAACAGAAATTAGGAAATATTACGGGCTGGCAGAGGGGCACATTGGTTAGGAGGTGACTTGGGAGGCCAGCTCTGAGCAGCAGGGCCCTGGTTCGGATCTCACATGAGAGCCAGTGACACTGCACCCTCTACAGCTAAGATGGTGAACGAAAGCTCAACCTGGAGCTGGGCTGCTGTGAGTCACCGGTGATGGCGTAGGCTGCAATGGGGCTGGCTGGCAGCTGGCATGTGCTTTCGTGAGCCGCCGTGAGTGGCAGTCCAAGGCCAGCGAACGACTGCCTCATCTGGGAAGAGCGCAATGATAATAACAACATGGGCCCGTGAAGCGACGTCCTCCACAGCTAGACTGAAGAACAAAAGGACAGCAACTTGTCTGTTCCCCTCCCCCAATTCCCCAATTAAATCTTAAAAAAAAAAATTAGGAAACATTACAGTTTGAATGATTATGAAGATATGGCATGTCAAAAATCAGTGGAAAACAGCTGAAGGAGTGCTTACAGCAAAGTATAGAACATTCCAGGCATCTAGTATAAGAGAAAAGGGTGGAAAAGATCTAAGGTTCCATTCAAGAAGATAAAAGAAGAATAGAAAATCTACCCAAAGAAATAAAGAAGCAGATATAAAGAGGATTGCAGAAATCCTTGGAATGGAAAACAAATGAACAACAGATAAAACCCACAAAACTACTAGTTGGCTCTTTGGAAGGATTCATTACTCTGGTAAAACAGAGTAAGAAAAAAAATTTTTGTAGGATTTTTTTTATTGGGAAATTGGGGAAGGGGAGCAGTGTTGGGGAACTGGAGAAGGAGAACAGCCAAGTTGTTGTCCATTCTCAATTATGGAGGGTGCAGCTAGCTCAGCTCCAAGTCCAGTTGCCATCCGGCCACCCATCAGCAGCTCGCAGTTGCTCAGCTCAAGGTGCTGTGTTCGATCTTAATTGTGGGGGGTGGGGGGTAGCCCACCATCACATGTGGTAGTCGAACCGACAACCTTGTTAGGAGCACATGCTGTCACCAGCTGAGCCATCTTGCCACCTGTTGGCAGCTCAGCTCAGGCACAGCTCACTGGCCCATGTGGGAATCGAACCAGCAACCCTGTTGCTCAGAGCTCGCGCTCTACAGCAAACTCTTAACCAACTGTGCCACTGAGCTGA